TATTTTTCAATTTATTCTACTAACTTTTCCAAAAAATGTGAATAAAAACAAATATTCGTTCATTTGAACGTTCAAAACTAGGAAAATTCCATCTTAACAAATAAAAAATCTACTGAAGGGAATACTTATTTATTCATTTGGTTCGAGTGAATTTTTTTATTTGTATAAAATATTTATTCATCGAGAATAAAAATTTACGGACTGTTAATTATTATGCGCAGGAAATTTAAAAGCAATTTCGTCGTTTCGTTAAAAATATTTATTTTTATTCTTATTTATTCCTTATTCTTTTTCTTTTTTTTGCAGGGAATAATTTTGTTCGACCAAAATGTACTTTTCTAAAATTGTTTCAGTTTTTTTTTCATATTTATTTATTTATTGCTTTATTTATTTATTTATTTTTTGTTGCTATTCGAAATAATGGAGTATAACGGAAAAGTTGGTGATTCTTTCGACACAGCAACATTGGCCGTTTCTTTAGTGGGAGAAGTTAGATTGGCCGACCTTATCAGCTTCGGTTAGTTTAAAGGTCACCACCGTGAAGATATTGGTAACGGAACAAGTTTCTTTGGTTTTCTTTAATTGATCGTTTTATGCAGAAGATTGCAGTTGTTCATTTTGATCGTTTGACTTGGACTTGATTTTTTTTTTCTTTTTCTTTTTTGTTATTTTTTCTTTTTTACATGCCGATTTGCTGCTCTAGCTATCATTTTCTTCTTCTACAATGTTTTTAGTTCTCTCGCGTCCTTCGCCTTGGAAACATTTTTCACTTCCGGATGACAAAGTCCCTCAACATCTGCTCAACTTCTCAAATTTCGCATCATTCTTGGTAGGCTTCTCACTATTTTCTAAATATAGACATTGTCATTTATATTCTCTTGAAAATGAAAATTAGGTAGTGCATATAATATACCCTCTCCACCCCGCTATTGTCTCGACTTTTGTTGTTTCTTGTCAGGCCTCGGATAGTATGGCTTTTTTTTTAGTTTTTTCTCGATTTACTTTCAAAGAAGGCGACTTTTTTCATTTTATTTTCGATAAATGGGACTTTTTCAAATTTGTTCATAATTCAAAATTTAATTTTAATTTTCAGAATTTCCATTAGGCGTCGAATTTTAATTTCTTGAAATTTTCATTTGCTAGAAATTTTATTGAACAGAATGTCATGTAAACGAATTTTTAATAGACTGCGAATTATTATTTTTATTTTATAATAATAATGTTAATATTATTATTTTTATTATTATTATTAACTTTACAAGTTACTATTATTATTATGCAAGTTAAATTTTTTAAAATTCTTTCAAAATAAATTATTTAAAACTTTAAAGTTGTTTAACAATCAGAGTTTGTAAAAATCAAATTCCGAGGAATTTTAACTGAAAATTTTAAGAATAATAATTCAAAAATTTTATTGGAAATACATAATTGATTTTCTTTAAGTATTTCGCATTAAAATTTTTATAGATCAAATTTTGGAGAGTTTTAATTGCAAATTTTGAGAATAATAGTTTAAAAATTTTAATGAAAAACTGACTTTTTAAAATTGAATTATTTTCAATTCCTACATTTTGTCAAGAATTCAGAAAATTTTTTCAAATAATTTTTTAAGAGAATTAAATTTTTCAATTAAATAATTAAATAGTTTTTAATCTAATTAAAATTTTGTGAAATTTCATTAAAAGTAATATTGATTTTTTTTAGTTATTTCAGTAAAATTTTTAAAAATCAAATGTTGGAGAATTTTGCTTGCAAATTTTGAGAATAATATTTCAAAAATTTTAAGGAAATGAATTACAAATGAGAATTTGAAAATCTTAGAATAATTTTCATTCTAATTTTTTTAAATTCAATTATTTTCATATATTTTCAATTACATTTTTCCAAATAATCAAAAATCTACAAAAAAACATGTAATAAATTTAATTTCTTTTAAGAATTTCAATAATATTCGAAAGATTACATTACATTATATTTAGAAATTTAATTCTTCGAATTTAATTTATAATAATTTTTTAAAATTAAATTATCATCAAAATAGCAACATAAATTTTTTGAAAAATTAATTTTTTACATAGATTTCATGTATTTTAATAATATTTGTATTTAAAATTCTTCAAAAACTTGATTTTTTTAATGTATTAGAGAAATTCAACTATTTTCAAAAAATTTTACTGTTTTTCAATTATCGGAAAATTTTTCAACATGAAAAGTGTGAAAATTAATCACATGGTCATTTTTAATACTTTAATTAAAAATAAATATTAATGAAAATTATTAACATAAAATTATATTAAAATATTTTTTAAACATTTTTAGATAATTAAATTTTTTAAATAAATAATTAAAAAGTTTTTAAGTAATTCAAGTTATCTAACATTTTCGTGAAAACAATTAATTTTTTTCAAGTAGTTCATTAGTTTTCCTAAAAATTGGTTTTTAATTAATTTCTGAAAATTCTTTTAAAAAATTCAATTACTTTCAAGAAATTTTATTATAAATATCAATTATTTGCAAATTTTTCAATTATACATAATTGAAAAATTACTAGATATTATTTATTTATTTCAATTTATAATTTAATTATAATAAATTTTAATTTTAAATAATTCCTAAAATTATTTTTAAATATTTTTAAAAATTAAATTTAAGACGTTTTTTTTATTACTTTTTTAAAATCAATTTTATTATAGGGTTATAATTATTTTTAAAAAATTGAATTTTTGCATTTAAATAATTAAATTCTATACAAATTTTTCGAATTTATGAAAATATTTTTTTTTGTGAAATTTTTTAAAAATTATTTTGAAAATAATTGAATAAAAATTCTATTAAATTCAATTAGAAATTTTTATAATTTTCACGTAATTCTTTTTTCGAACTGAAGTTCAGTTTTTATACAATTAATAATAATGAGGATAATAATTGAAAGATTTTTTTCAAATGATGAAAATATTAGTTATTATTACTAATTATTGCATGTTCTATATAAACATAACGTTGACATTTCTCAATTATTGGAAAGAACTCTCGGTGAATTTCTTATCACTTGCGACAATTAACAAAAGTCCTTCACTGTTTATGTAAATCATTGATTAAAATTAATTAGATGACATTAATTGAAAATTCTTTATTAAGTTTAATTTTAATGTAATTTTTTGTTAATTTCGGTTCGATAATAATTTACACCAATAATTGTGTAACTAATTACTGTGAATAATTAATAATTATTTGTTTGATTTATTTATTACTTAATTACAATTTTAATTTAATGTTTAATTTCAATTAAATTAAATTCAAGTTAATTACAATTTGATTTAATTATAGGTGCTGTTTTTATTTCTCTTTATTTTACTTTATTATTTATTAATATTTACAATTTATTTTTTATTTGCACTGGAGAAAAAATTGATTTTATTCAAATAAACGATTACTTGTCTATTATCAAATTTACTTGAATCAAATAATTTTTATTCAAATCAATTAAATTTGAACCACTAATCATTTGAAGCAATGTATTCAGTATTTGAAGCAAGTACAATTTATTTGATTTAAAATAAAAATGATTTGTTAATTAATTTAATAATATTAATAATTATTATTTTATTATTAATAATTATTTGATATTTATTTTAATAATTTTTTATTTATATCAAAGAAATTTGAACTACTAATCATTTAAAGCAAAAATTTCTGTATTTGAGGCAAATACAATAATTTATTTAGATTCAAATAAAAATTATTTGATTCAAGAAAATATTTATTTGATAATAATAGACAATTAATTGTTTAGTTGAATCAAATAAATTTTTTTCTTGGGTGGATATTAGAATTATTCAATAAATCCGAATAATTAAAGATTTAAATAATAATAATACCTAATAATAATTTGAATTATTATTTTATTAATTATTTGAATTTTTTTTTATTTTTACAAATTTTTGTTGTCCTAAATATGTGGGATTTATTACGTAAAAGTAAAATCCGTCATTTTAATGTGCAATGTAAACAAATCTCTTTATCACTGCAAGTGAAGAAAATAAACAAAACTTTTTTTCAACGACATCTCAACTCTCAACTATATAGTTGACCATTGACTATCTTCCGCGTGATAAAATTGACATGAATAATGATAAATTCTAACTTTTATTGTTCATATTTTTCAAAAAAAAAATTTTTTTTCTTTTACAGAAAAAAAATTTCTTTATCAAAGAGAAATGTTTTAATAACAATTTTTTCATTTTAATCATTTTTGTAAAAATTATTTTATAAAAATTATAATTATTATTCTTACAGTTATATAGAAATTATTCAGTCGCATTCTTTTGTAATTTTTCCAAATATGAATAATATAAATTTTTTGAATTTATTAGGTATACAGTATATTTTTTTTAAGTCATTAATCAATATCTACAATATTTATAATGTATAATGAAATATTCTATTAATGTTATGTAACATTTCACGTGATTCAGAGATAATTTCTGATTTTTGCAAAAATGCGAACTTGGAAGAAAATATTCTTGACAAAAAATATCCATTTTTAGAAAAAAAAATTGTGAATCTATTTAGTAGAAAATAAATCAAAGTAAAAAAAATTGAAAAATATATTTGTTTACTCTATTAAATAATATAAAGTTTCAAGGGAAATTTACATTATTATTATATAATAGTATATTTATTAATTATATAATTAATTATTATATAATAAATTTAATTATATTAATTTAATTTTTTTTATTTATTTAATTATATTTATTATTTTAAAAATAATAAAACTTATTTTATTAATAATTATATTATTAAATAATAATCCAATTAATATTAATATTCTTATAACATAAATAAAATATATAATAAGAAAATAACATATTTCTTTTTTAATGTCGATATTTTTGAATTTACAGCAAAAAAATTGTTTGTTTCTTAATATTTTGCTTTTATCGCTGTTATTGCAGAAAAAAATATTGAATAATTTTTCCTTAACATATACAATGTAGACTTTGGTTTTCCGAATGATGGTGTGAATGATTATCACGTCGAGGAAATCCAAGATATGGTCACTATCATCCAAAGGATGATAAAAGATGGTAAGAATATAATATTTTTAGATAATAATTTTCTAGAAATATTATACAACAAAAGTGGGAATTTTCAGGGAATTTTCTCGCTAAAAACTTTTTCGAATTTTTTTCTCGACTATTTGCAAATTTTCCTAAAATTGTTAACACTGTTTAAATCTTTAGACATAGAAAAAAATTAGGTTAGTTTTAGTTTTGAATTTTTAAATTTCAACTCTTATACTTTGTCTAATCTGATTTGGAATTGAGTCAAATGGTAATTGTTTTATTTACATAAGTACGATTCTAAAATGTGCAAAAAAATTTTTTTTCTTAATCACATAAGCCATAATCATAAAGTCTTTAATATATTATTTTGCGAGTGTGGGTCAAGTCTTGTTCATTTAATATTATAAGCAGCCTGACTTCTTATCGTTATATGAAGGTTCTCAACTGAGGCCGTGTAATTTTTCTTTTACTCAACTTATTCTCAATATTTCATTATTTTAAATATTTTTAACGATGAACGTGTATCTCATCTTTATAAAATGTACAAATTTTTGTTTGAGAACAATTTTATAATCTGAAAACCGTTTTGAGCAAAAAAGTTTTTTTCACATTATAGAAAAAGATTTTAAAAACGAAAAACAGTTTTGAGAAAATATTTTTCATGTTCAGAATAAATTTTTTATTGAGAACGTAAGTGTTTTTTCAGTACAAACATAAGAATGAATTGAAAAAGGACGGATATAAATGTCTTTCCTTTTCTAACTCATTGTTTTCATTGCATTTACGTTTACGTTCTCTCAAATAAAAAAATTCTATTTTGGACAGTTCTTTATGAAAGATTTTATAATTCAGGCACAGAAACTTAATCAATATTTTAGTTTATTTAGAAATTTTTTTCTGTTTGTTTATACAGTGTTGGCATAGGTCAGGGAATTCAGGAAAAATTGGGGATTTTTATTAAAAGTACTGGAAAAAATTAAATTTTTAAAATATGTAAGAAAATTCTGAATTTTTCTTTTTTAATAACTTAATTCTTCAAAAACTATCATAAAATTATTATTTATAAATTATTTAGTGAATAATTTTATTTAAATATTTCAAAATTAATTGGATTTTAAAAGAGTTGCGTTTGCAATTTTCATAAATAGATAAACTTCAAAAAGTTTTAATTAAAAATTTTATAAAATTTAAATTTTTAATGAATTTTATTAGAAATTTGAAAGATTTTTGAAAAATTTTAATAATTCAAGTTCTTTGGAAATTAGTTTAATTTTTTAATATTTAGTTGATTAATTATTAAAAATAATGTATTTATTGAAGAATTTTAGTTAAAAGCAATAAAAAAAATTGAATTTTAAAGAAGTTACAAATTATTGCAGGAAATCAATTATTTTCAAAAATAATAAAATGCTCGTCAAAATTGCAATGCTCAATAATAAAATTCTTCTCCAAAATTCAATTATTTTAAAAAATTTTAATAAAATTCTGGGCAAAATTTCAATTAGTTTCAAAAATTTTTCTCAGTTTAATGATTTTCAAATATACACTATTCTTAATAAAATTTTCTATAACAATTCAATTATTTGAAAATAGTTTTGATAAAATTCTACTCAAACATTTAATTATTTTCATAAATAATAAAAATTTCGCTGGAATTTCAACTTATTGCAGAATTTTAATTCTTGTCAAAATATTAATTATCTTAAATAAATAATAAAATTCTTCGCCGGAATTCAATTATTGTCAAATATTTTATTAAAATTCTTTACAAAATTTCAATTATTTTCAAAAAAATTTTCTTTAATTTAATGATTTTCAATACATATCTACAATTTTAGTAAAATTTTCCAAAAGAATTCAATAATTTAAAAAAAATTTTAATAAAATTCTACGCAAAAATTTAATTATTTTCATGAATAATAAAAATTTCACGGGAATTCAATTATTTACGAATTTTTTAAAAATTTCTTCGTAATAATTCAATTATTTTGATCAATAATAAAACTTCTTACAGAATTTCAATTATTTTTGATACGATTTTAATCGAATTCCTCGAGAAATGTAATTATTATTAAAAATTTTATTAGCATTCGCCGAAAGAATGTAATTATTTAAAAATTTGTTGATAACATTTTTTATTAGAATTCAATTTTAAATAGCATCTAATTATTCAATAAATTATTTAATTTTGTATTTAAATAGTTCAATTATCGTATTATTTTCTAATAAAAATTGATTTAAAAATGAATTTTAATTAAACTTTTAGATGATAATTGAATATTGAAAGCATTATAACGTGAATTTTTAGAAATAATAAAATTTTGAAAAGGTTTCAAATTAAAATCTTTGAAAATATGTATGAATTTTTCATACTTTTGTCTAACAATTCTGTGGAATTAATTTTTTTGAAACTGTTTAATTGGATTTTTTGTTGAAATTATTTGATGTTTTTATTTTCTAAAATATATTTAATTCAAAAATTTTCGAATAATCGAAATTTCATTAAATTTAATTGTAAATAAATAAATCTGAATATTGTCAAAGAACTTTTTCAAAAATAAATTTCTTCGCATTAATTCAATTATTTTTATAAATAATCCCATTTTTTACAGGGATTCAATTATTTTCATAAATAATAAAAAATTTCTTTAAGGAATTCAATTATTTTCATAAATAATAATACTCATTGCAGAATTTAAATTATTTATTTATTTTTAATACTATTTTAATCGAAGTCCTCGAAAAATGAAATTATTCTTAAAAGTTTTATTAAAATTCGTCGAAAGAATTCAATTTTAAGAAACATTCAATAAATTATTTATTTTTGTATTTAAATAATTGAATTCTCATAGAATTTTCTAATAAAAATTTATTTAAAAATGAATTTCAGTTAAAATTTTAGATAATAATTGAATATTAAAAGCATTATAGCGTGAATTTTTAGAAATAATTGAATTTTGGAAAGGTTTCGTATTAAAATCTTTGAAAATCTGAATTTTTCATACTTTTAACTAATAATTCTGTAGAATTAATTTTTTTTTTGAAAAAGTTTAATATTGAATTTTTTTAAAGTTATTTGAAGTTTTTATTTTTTTAAATATATTTGATTGAAAAATTTGCGAATAATCGAAATTTTTGTAAAATTGAATTGTAAACAAAATAGATTTGAAAATTCTCAAAGAAGTTTTTCAAAAATTATTAAAAATAAATGATTTAAAGAAAAATTTTCGTTAAAAATTCTAGAGAATAATAATTAAATTGTAATGATAAAAATAATTTTGAAGAAGTTACAGTTAAAATATTCTTTTAATAAAAAATAATGATTTTATCACTCGGTCATCTTTAATTTTTTATTATAAAACATGAAGAAATCGACTTCTTCGTGTTTTGTAATAAATATTCTTGTAATTTGTTGAATTTCAAAAACGTTTGAATTTAAATATTTTGAAGAATTTTAATTCCTATCGAAAAATAATAATGATAAAATAGTTATTTAAAAAAGAAGTTATTGATGTTTTTGAATAATTTTACAATTGAAGAAATTCGTAAATAAATGAAATAGAATATTTTTTTGAGTGAATCAGAATATTATTTAGGGTCAGGGAAAAAGTCAAAAAATTGTTTAGAAATGAGGGAAAAGTTAGGAAAAAACCAAATTTAATTTTTATGATAAGAAATGTTTTGATTGGTAACATTTGTAATTTGTAATTTGTAAAACTAAAAGTAATTACTTTTTTGTACTTTTCGCTTTAAAATCTTTATAATTAACAATCATAATATTTAATAATATTTAATTTTTTATGCCGTATTTGTGTTTCTGCCTTTCACGTCGAGCGTCGTTAAAATTATACTGAAAACGTCAATTCAGCCCTGAAAAAAATAAGTAAATAAACAAATCGCTTTTGTAATATATTGATGATCGATATTCGAAATCAGATTTGAAAATGAAGCTAATTTTGCAATGGTGAATTTATAAATAATTGCGAAATGTCAATTTCCCAGGAACACGTTTTCGCTGAGTTTGTAAATCGAAGACATCATTTTCTGCTTGGTTTTCGTTTTGTCGCTGGCAGCAAACGTTGCGCCTCTTTTATTTTGAGAAAAGAAAATAATAAACGAGAAGACAGGATGATGGTTTAAAATTACGAAGAAATTATTTTCTCTATTTTACATTCTTTGTTATACATTCAGACGAGAAATTTTGCATTTTTTTATTCTAGAGAAAAATTAACTTTTACGTTAAATTTTCAAAATGATTTTTTTCCTATTATCATAGTTTTTAGAAAAAAAATCGAAATTCTTGTTATTTGAAATTTTCCATCATTTCCCGCCGTGACTTATAAGCGCGTGGTGAGTGGTTGAAAAAATCAAAACAAGAAGCAACAAGTGGCCAGCATTGTCGTTTACTCCGTTTGCTTTGTTCGAAGTTCGAGTCATTTTAATTATATTTTTCCTATCAAAAAGTCTCGATTAGAATTCATTTACCTGTCAAAACGTGAATTCGATCTAAATTTATTATTTATGATTAAATTTATAATAAAAACAAATAAATATAGTTAGTAATTTACAGGTAAAATATTTTGAGGTTATGTTTTAAAAAAGAATTGTTTTTCATTTGTAACCTTTCTACTTACTTATTTAAAAAGAAAAACTGTATTTAAAAAAATATTTAAAAAAGAGAAAAGATTCTATGAAAGAAATAGTTAAACGGAAAGATAATATCATGAGAGGAATACAAAGAAGGAGTTAGTAAGAATTTTACTGACGTGCGATAAAAATAAATAAATGAAAAATTTAAATTACAATGAGAATTAAAAATAGTTTTCCTTTTGTTGCAGGTCATGTTTTTCAAAATCCGGAGGTGGTTAATCTAGTTTTGGAACCTGGAATATGGTAAGAAATAAAGAATATAATTTTCATATAAATAATATATTTTTAATTAGCATTTATAATAATTATAATCACAATTTAAGTTTACAGTACCTAATTTAAATGACATGTAGATAAGATTTTTATAATTTCACGTTACTTTTTTTATCAGACAACACTATTTATTTTAGGAGAAAAAAAATGGGTCATCTTTTTAAACTTTGTAGATATTATTTTGTATCCTAATAAACTGCGAAATTTCTTTTTTTTTCGTCATACATTTTATTTACTTAATTTTAATATCATTTGCAAATTCTCGCTTTCATATCTTACTTATTTGCATAGCATTTTAGATTATAAATTCTCGTGTATAATTAGAGTGTCGCTTAATAATTAGTTAATTCTTATTCTATTGAAATATTCTCAAAAAAAAAAGAATTTTATTTTATTTAAATATAATGAAATATTTTTATTTTTAGCTCAAACGACGAAGAGGTAGACAGCAATTGCGTGGTTAGGGCGCGAGGACTTCCTTGGCAATTGTCTGATCAGGACATTGCAAAATTCTTCAGAGGACTGAATATTGTCAAGTAAGTTGAATTTATTTTTAACGAAACTTGGGAAAGAATTTTTTCTAGATTATGAAGAATTTTTGAACGTTCGAATGAATGAAATTTCTGCTGTTCCATTTTAAAAAAATCAGAATGAAATAAGGAATACTGTAATTAAACATTTTCCTTCCTTATTTTAAATTTACTAATGAAAAAAAAATAAGTAAAGAAATAAAATTCATTGAAATATTAAATTTATTTCAATGAAATTTGACAAAATTTAAAATTATTGTTTCAATTTTTTAAAATTATTTTCGGGAATACAATTACTTTTAGAATATTTTAATTACATTATTTCAAGAAGCAATTTTTCGGAATTTCTGAATTAAATTATTCAAAACTTCAATACTTTTTGTTAAAAAAAAATAGTAAAAACTTATTCTTATTTATTTTTCGACAGGAATTAAAATTTCATCCTAATTTCAATGAAAAATCTTTTGAAGTTTAATTATTTCTAAAAATTGCAATTGTAATTCTTCCAAAATATTAATCTATTGATATTCATCGAATTGTTGCAAAAGAATTCTGTCAAAAAATCTAAGAATAATTGAATTCCTTCAAAGAAATTTATTATTTATCAAAATAATTGAATCCTTGCGAAGAATTTTATTAAAATTCTTGAAAATTCTAATTAAATTCTTTTTGAAGAAATTCTTTGAATTTTCTTTAAATAATAGAAGTTTCTTTAATACTTTTAATTAAAAATTTTGAAAATAATTTAATTTTATGAACAATTTCTTTCAAGTTTTTAAAATAATTGTGTTGGTAAATAATTGAAATTGAACATTTAATTATTGAATTTTATTAAAATTTTAGAAAACAATTGAATTCCTTTAAAAAATTTTATACCGAATTAAGAAAAAAATTGAATTATTTCGTGAAATTTCTTTGAAAACAATTGAGTTTTTGCAATGAATTTTACTAATTATAAATATAATTGAATTGTTTCGAAGGATTTATTAATATTTTAGAAAATAATTGCATTTTTTTGAAAAATATTTTTAAAAATTGAAAAAAAAATTGATTTCTTTTATGGTATGTTATTAAAAGTGTATTAAAAATAATTGATTTTTTACACAGAATTTTACTATTTATAAATATAATTAAATTTTTTTTGAAGAATTGATTAAAATTTCAACGAATAATTGAATTCTATTGTAATTTTTTTATAACGAATTAAGAAATAAATTGAATTCTTTCGTGAAATTGCTTTGAATATAATTGATCTTTTGCAAGTAATTTTACTATTCATAAATATAATTGAATTTAGAAATTTAGAAAATAATTTAATTTTTTTGAAATATTTTATAACGAAAAAAATGGAATTCTTTTGTGAAACTTTTTGAAAATAATTGAATTGTTTCGAAAAATTTATTAAAATTTTAGAAAATAACTGTATTCGTTTGTGAAATTTTATTAAAATTTTGTTTGAATGTAATTTTGCTAAAAATTTTACTATTTATAAAAATAATTGAACTCTTACGAAAAATGTTATTATTTATGAAAATAATTGAATTCTTGCGAAGAATTTCATTGAAAATTTTTTTAAATAAAAATTTTAATATTTTTATACTTTTGCTTCCCTTAAATTTCCAAAGAATTTAATTTAAAAATCTTTAAAAATCTTTAAATCAATTCCTATCAAAATTCAACGACGAGAATTGAATTATTTAAATAAAATAATTTTTGTAAATTCATAAAATACTGTATTTTCAAGAACACAATTGAGGGCTCGGATCGAAGAACCGACGCTTCGCAATGTTCTGTGCGTTTACAAGCGTCGGTTCTTCGATCCGAGCCCTCAATTATATTTATAGGTAATTTTTAAAAATGAAAAAATAAAATTCTTTGAAATATAAAATTTTACAAAATTTCCAATTGTTTCAATTTTTTTAAAATTATTTTCGGGAACTCAAATATACCTACCTTCGAAAAATTTTAATTACTATTTTTCAAAAACATAACTTTTTTCAGAATTTCCAAATTAAATCTTTCAAAATTTAATCATTTTTGTAAAATAAATATTTAAATATTTATTGTTCTTTATTTGCTTAAAATTTCGAAATACATACTTTCAATGTAAAACCATTGAAAAAATTTTTTATGAAAATTTAAACTGCAAGTCTTCCAAAATTCAATTATTTTTTTAGAATTTTTGAATAATATTATTGAAAACTTTTAATTTTTAAAGAAGTTAACAAATTAATATTTTTTTATATTTAAATATTATGATACTTTTACAGCAATTAGAATTTCAAAGATTGAAATTTAAAAACTTGTTGAAATTTAATTATTTCTAAAGAATCCTACTTTAACACTTTTAATTACTTTCTAAAGTTTTAACTAAAATTCTTTATTGAATCAATTCTTATCAGAATTCAATTATTTTAATACAACAATAAATAATTTATGGAATAATTAATTATTTTAAAAAATTGCAATGTACCTCTTTATTGAGCTTTTGAAATTGGGGTTCAATTTTCTTACTCCACTTATTTTATTATTTACAAATTAACTATCAAATTTTTGACACAACAATTCGAACTATAAAACAAAATATTGGAATAAAACGACACTATCTTCACGTGAGGAGAGATTATGTCGATTAGTATAATAAAAAGTAAAATTGTATTCTTTTAACAATTGATTTTGAATTTGCACTATTTGAAATAGTAAATAAAATTCAATTTTAAAAGAAGTAAAACAAATGATCGTCGTCGTGTTCATTTGAACGTTCGAAAATTTAGGAACATACAAAATTTTTAATAATTTCGAATATTACAAATAGAAGCAAAAAAAGTTTTAAATTATTACAAATATAAAAGAAGTATGAGAAAAAAGTAAAACAATAATTTTAATTTTTTCATTATGAAAAGAAAAAACAAATTACTAATCAATTTATTGCTGTATTTTTAACGCAAGCTTCTGGGATCGATGGTAAAAGTAGGCATCTTTCTTAAAACATTATTATCAACTTTTTTTCCACAATATAATTGGTTTTTATTGACAAAAAATTGTTTTATTACTGTAAAAATATTTTCTTTTTGCCTGCGAATCTTGATTATAATTGTAATTGTGAATTTCCTATTATTTGTTGACGACAGTTTATTTTAATGGAAATATAATTATATGTTAAGAGACAAATGTTAGGAGATATCTTTGAAAAAAAATTGACGAGAAAGATTTTCGAAAAAAAACTTAAATAACTAACACTAACCTCCTGGACGTATAGACGATAACTTTTATCGCAGGTCAAGGATCAAGCTTCTTGAGTCTGCCACAATTATGCACGATTTGTGATTCTAAATTTTTGGACATATTTATTATTACAAAAAAAATTAGTTCAAATCTTTCACAATCAATTTTCAACTCTTTCGAAAAAAACCGAAATCAATTGATTTTGTTTTTTTTCGAAAGAGTTTAATTTTTTGTATGTAGAATTTAGTTTTTCGATAAATTTTATTGACGCAGGCCTGGAAATTTAATTGAATGGAAAATCAGTATTTTTTTGTCCGATTCAATTGATTTAAGTTTTAAGAATAAAGATTAATTTTTAAAGTTCTTATGAGGCGGTGTCAATTGTATAATTTTGAGCTAATTGTGAATTGGAACAATTTTTGCAGGGGTGGTGTTGCCTTGTGTTTGAGTCCACAAGGAAGGCGAAACGGAGAAGCTTTAGTACGATTTGTAAGTAAGGAACATAGAGACATGGCGCTAAAAAGGCACAGGCATCATATTGGACTGCGTTATATTGAAGTTTACAAAGCGTCCGGCGATGATTTTGTCGGAGTTGCTGGTGGTACGAGTGGAGAAGCTCATGACTTCCTTTCCCGAGGACCTCAAGTCATCGTCAGAATGAGAGGTCTTCCCTACGACTGTGTAGCAAAACAAGTGGTAATTAAGCGTTCTTCTTTTTTATTCTCTTTTTACAACTTCTAATTTTCTTTTTTTTTCTCCCTTTTCAACTTTCAATACCTTTCCTTCTTTTTTTTATTCTCTTTTTTCAACTTTTAACATTTCCTTAAGTACAATTATTGCAAGTTCTCAATTTGTTGATAATTCTTATTTTATAGAGAGAAATTTGTTAAATATTCTTTTTTTTCAATTTATATTAGGTATTTTAAAGTGAATTTTATTCTATAAAAAAGGAGAATAGTTGCCGTAGGTTAGGGAATTCAGGAAACAGTCTAGGATTTTTATTAAAATTACGGGAAAAAATCAAATTTTTAGTATTTATAAAAAAAGTCTGTATTTTTGTTTCTTTTCTGTTTGCCTCATAAACTATTAAATTACCACGAATTCTAATAAAAAACCTTCAAATTTTTTTATTTCTCACAAAAATTTCTTTTTAAATAATTTAATTCTTAAAGAACTATCATAAAATTATTATAATTCTAAATTATTTAATGAATAATTTTATTTAAATATTTCAAAATAAATTGAATTTTAAAAGAGTTGCGTTTACAATTTTCATAAATAGAACAACTTTTCAAAAGGTTGTAATATGAAGTTTTAGAAAATTTCAATTTTTAATAAATTTCATTAGAAAATTTAAAGATTTTTTGAAAAATTTTAATAATTCAAATTCGTCTGAAATTAGTTAAATTTTTTAATACTTATTTGATTAATTATTAAAAATAATGGATTTATAGAAGAATTTTAGTTAAAAACACTAAAAAATTGAATTTTGGAGAAGTTACAATAATGTTTGCAGAAATTCAATTATTTTCAAAAGTAATAAAAATCATCGGAGAAATTCAATTTCTTCCAAGAATTTATGCCAAGAATTTTATTAAAATTTTTGAAAATAATTAAATTTCTGCGAATTTTTCACAGGAATTTAATAATTTTTAAATATGTTAATAAAATTTGCTGCAAGAATTCAATTATTTTCCTAAATAATACAATTCTTTAGAAAAATTCAATTATTTTCAAAAATTGTAATAAAATCTTCACAAGAATTCAATTATTTTAATAAATTGTAAAATTCTTCGCAAAAATTCGATTATTTTGATAAATTACAAAATACTTCAAAAAAACTCAATTGTTTTCATAAATTTTAATAAACTTCGCTGCAAGAATTCAATTATTTTCCTAAATAATACAATTCTTTAGAAAAATTCAATTATTTTCAAAAATTGTAATAAAATCTTCACAAGAATTCAATCATTTTTATAAATTATAAAATTCTTTCCAAAAATTTAATTATTTCCATAAATTACAAAATTCTTGGAAGGAATTCAATTACTTTCCTAAATATTAAAATTCGTCGCAAAAATTCATTTATTTTCGTAAATAATAAAATTCTTTTCCAGAAGTCAATTATTTTCATAAAAAATATAATTTTTTACGGAGATTCAATTATTTTTAATACAATTGTAATCGAATACATTGAAAAATTTTATTAAAATTCATCGAAATATTTTTTGAAATTATTGAAACTTTTTATTTTCTAAAATATATTTAATTAAAAAATTTCCGAGTAATCTAAATTTCGTAAAATTTGAATTATAAACGAATAATTTTAAAAATTGATACAATTAAAAGTTTTGTCATATTTCTTTGAAATAAATTGTATATTTAAAAAAATTTAATTTGATTACTTTTAAAAATTCTTGTGAAATATTATCGTATTTTTGAAAAATTATATTTTCAAAAATTATATATTTTAAAAAATAATAAATTTTTGGTATAAATTTTGTAAAGGAACGTTTTTTTAACTAACAATGGGCGTTAAATTATTACGCGCGTGTAGTTGGACAAAATTTTAATAATTTTTCTTTTTAAATGATTTAAATTTTTACACAATTTATTGAAAATCATTGAATTCTTGCATAGAATTTTATGAAAAAATTTGAAAATAATTGAATTGCTTCGAAGAAGTTTATTATTTATAAAAATAATTGAATTTCTTCCAAGTACTTTATTATTTACGAAAATAATTAAAGAATTTTATTAAGAAATTTTTAAAATCCTAATTACATTTTTTTTTGAAGAATTGCTTTGAATTTTTTTTAAATAAAGAAGTTTCTTTAATAATTTTTATTTGACAATTTTGATGAAAGTACTTTAATTTTATGAAGAATTTCTTCCAAGTTTTTAAAATAATCAGATTTGTTAACAATTGAAATTAAACATTTGGTTATTGGATTTTATTAAAATTTTTATTTTGCGAATAATTTTATTAAAATTTTTGAAAATAGTAATTAATAATCAATTACCTATGTAGTTAATAAGTGAATTTTTTAAAATCTAAAATTATTCGAAAATTGAAGTTTATATTTAAAAATAAAAATTGTTGTGTACAAAAAAGAAATTATTATAAAAATGTTATATAATAATAAATTGAATATCATGTTTCACGCGTAACATTCGCCAGTTATTATTAATTTAATGATCTTTACGATATGGTTATTGCAGCTGGACTTTTTTGCGTCTGGACAAAAGCCCTGCCAAGTATTGGATGGCGAGGAAGGTGTTTTATTTGTGAAGAAAGCAGATGGACGGGCGACTGGTGATGCGTTTGTTCTTTTTGCGAAAGAAGAAGATGCGGCGAAGGCCCTCGGTAAACACAGGGATTGTATTGGCAGCCGATATATTGAATTGTTTAGAAGCACCACTGCCGAAGTACAACAGGTTAATTTTTTAAATACATTACATTTTACACAAAAATTCCTTTTTTTCAAAGACCACTTTCAGTCCTTTTTCGGTTAAAATTCGAATTTTCTGACTATATTCTTTATTAAGGGCATGTAGAGAAAACCCCTCGAAGAAAAATGGGTTCCCTTGTGTCGTTTTACTTCTAAATAAATTCAGATGAGTTTGAATTTATCCGGATAATTAAATGAAAGCGAACTGATAAAAAATTTCCGACCCGAAGTCTATTATTTCCAAAAAGTCCAAACCCAAAATATTTTCTTTTTAAATGAGAAGAAATTTACGAAACCACTATTTTCTCCCGGATGCCCTTAAATAAGAAGTAATTTACGAAGTCACTTTTAGAATTAAAAGTATTTTTGAACAATTTTTATTTAATTTTATTTGACGAAAATGAAATCTACAAACGTTGATCAACAAAAAAAATTTGTTTTATGTTTTTGAATATTACTTTAAAGAAATATACAACAATTATTGTTAAAGCAAAAATAAAAATCTACCTTTTTAATACATTTTTGTGATAATATTGTTGCGTTGTCTTTGAATGATATATTTTTTGAAAAAATTTTCTCGTAGATTTAATGTTGTGGATTTCAACTTGGTTTATTTTTGAACTTTCAATTTGATGTTATTAAAGATTGATATTCTTTCCTCAGGTATTAAATCGAGTGAGTGGCATTAAAGCATACGACAGAATGGTACCACCGGTGCTGCCATTGCCAAAATTCAATCCACTTCTTCCTCAGCACATTATTACCTCAGGAACTCGCAAAGACTGTGTTCGTTTACGTGGCCTCCCTTACGAAGCTCTAGTGGAGCACATCCTCGAGTTTATGGGGGAGCACTCGAAAAATATTGTTTATCAAGGAGTTCATATGGTTTACAACACACAGGTAAAGTAAACATTTTTCTAGTAAATAGAAATAATTTTAGTAAATGAAAGATAAAAATAACCGAAATTCAGGTTTTACACTCATCAACTAAAATCTACTATATTTAGTACTTTTTTTACGATTTGCTACTATTTCGATACTTTTTTTTTTAACTTTTGACACTAGAAGCTACTTTTTCTCCTTTTTTGAGAATTTACACTATATACAACAGCTAATTGTTGAAATAAAAAAATAAATTCTCAAAAATTTTAATAAAATTCTTACAAATCGTTCAAAAAGTTTTAAGGGGGTCCCACAGTCAATTGAATTTTTGCATTGAGCTTCAATAGGAAAATCACATCGACTTTGACACCGCCTTAATAAAATTCTTAGGAACCATTCAAAATATTTTAATAAAATTCTTCGAAAGAATTTAATTATTTTCAATAAAATTTTAATGAAATCAAGAATTCAATAATTTTCGTAAATAATAAAATTCTTCTCAATTTCAATAATTTTTAAATAGAATTTTAATGAAATTACTCGAAAAATTTAATTATTCTTAAAAATTTTATTAAATTTATTTAAAATTGTAATTGATAAAAAAATTAATAACAATAAGTATTTAAATATTTATTTAACGAAATTATTAAACCTTTGAATAATTTATTGAATTTTTTAATTTTTAAAAGAAATTATATTTCTGAAAAATTTGAATTACATTCTTTTTTTAAGAAAAATTGAATTCCAGGAGGTAATTTAAAAAAATTGAAACAAATTAAATTTTTTTTTAAATATAACTGAAAAAAATTTTATATTTTTAAATGAATTTTACTTTTTTTTTACTTTTAACCATTTTTTTTAATTCGTATTTTTGAAGAATTGTAGCTGAAGTATAAAAATTTAAAATTCTTTAAAATAATTAAATTTCTGCAAAGAATTTTATTATTTATAATAAAAATAATTCAATTCTTATTAATAATTTTATCAAAATTTTTCAAAATAATTGAATGTCTGACAAGAATTTTATTAAAATTCTTTAAAATAATTAATTTTCTACAAAAAATGAATTTAATTAAATAAAATTGTATTAATAATATTTCAATTATTTTCAAAAGCATTAAAAATCTTTACAGAAATTCAATTATGGAAAAAAATTTTTTAAATTCTCGTCAAAATGTAAATTATCTTTATAAATAATAAAATTCGTCTCCGAAATTCAATTATTTTCAAAAATTTTAATAAAATTCTTATAAAAATTTCAATTATTTTAATAAATTTTCCTCAATTTAATGATTTTTAATATCTACTATTTTAATAAAATTTTCCAAAAGAATTCAATTATTTTTTAAAAATTTTGATTAAATTCTACACAAACATTTAATTATTTTTATTAATAATAAAATTTTTGTAAGAATTCAATTGTTTCCAAATTTTCTTAAGTAATAAAATTCTTTTTAGGAATTCAATTATTTTCAAAAGTAATAAAATTCTTCAAAAAAATTCAATTTTGTTCAAAAACATAAAAAAAAATCTCGTCAAATTGCAATTATCTTTATAAAAAATTAAATTCTACTTCAAAATTGAATTATTTTCAAAAAATTTAACAAAATTTCAATTAATTACAAAAATTTTCCTCAATTTAATGATTTTTAATATCTACTATGTATTGTAATAAAATTGTACGCAAAAATTTCATTATTTTCATAAGTAATAAATATTTTTAAAGACATTCAATTATTTTCATAAATAATAAAATTCTTTGTAGGAAATCAATTATTTTTATTAATTAAATAATAAAACTCATCGCAGAATTTCAATTATTTTTAATACAATTTGTTGATAAAATTCTCTGTGAGAATTCAATTTTAAGAAACATTCAATTATTCAATAAATTATTTTTTTTTTACTTAAATAATTGAATTCTAGTAGAATTTTCTAATTAAAATTGATTTAAGAATGAATTTCAGTTAAAATTTTAGATGATAATTGAATATTAAAAGTATTACAGCGTGAATTTTTAGAAATAATTGAATTTTGAAAAAGTTTTAAATTAAAATCTTTGAAAATTTGAATTTTTCATACTTTTAACTTACAATTCTGTAGCATTCATTTTTTTTTTGTTGAAAAAGATTATTTAAATTTTTGGATCCCCGAATTTTTTAAAAATTATTTCAAGTTTTTGAGATCTAATATAGGTATATTTAATTGAAGAATTTCCGAATAATCGAAATTTTGTAAATTTAAATTGTAAACAAATAATAGATTTGAAAATTCTTAAAGAACTTTTTCAAAAATTATTAAAAATAATTTAGGTATTTAAACTTAAAGAAGAATTTTAGTAAAAATTCCCAGAAAATAATAATTGAATTGAAATTATGAAGATAATTTTGAATAATTTACAGTAACAATATTTTTATAGTATAAAATAATGATTTTATTACTCTGTCATCCTAAAGTATTATAAAACATGAAGAAATCGATCGATATCTTCATGTTTTATAATAACAATATTCTAATAAGTTGTTAAATTTCAAAAAAGTTTGAATTTGAATGTTTTGAAGAATTTTAATTCCTACGGAAAAATAATAGAATAGAATAGGTACGGAAAAATAATAATAATTAAATATTTATTTAAAAAAGAAGTCGTTGATATTTTCAACTAATTTTATAATTGAGGCTTCGGATCTTAAAAGGTCACTTTCAGCATTGATTTTAAATGGTAAAAGTACCCTTTTAAGATCCGGAGCCTCAATTAGAGAAATTCGTAAATAAATGTAATATAACATTTTTTTTTGAGTATCTAATTATTTTTAGAGTGAATCAGAATATTAATTAGGATCAGGGAAAAAGTCGAAATTTTGTCTGGAAAGCAGGGAAAAGTGAGGGAAAAACAAAATGAAATTTTTGGGTAATAATAATTATTCGGTTCGAAAGATACTTTTTGCTACTTTTTTCGAAATTAATTGACGAGTGCAATGTAATAAATTTGAAATTATTGCTTCCAGGGTCAACCATCGGGCGAGGCGTTCATCCAGATGAATAGAGAGAGTTCGGCGTACTTGTGCGCCACGCAACGACATCATCGCTACATGATCTTTGGCAAGAAGCAGCGTTACATCGAGGTGTTCCAGTGCAGCGGAGCCGACATGAATATGGTATTAACGGGCTGCCCGCCTCAGACAAAAGCTCTCCTCTCACCTGGTACGTTACCTACGCAATCACCCGCGACTCTAACACATCATCAACCGCCCGCGGCCCCAGTCCCAATTCCGACGCCGCAACCTCCTCTCTGGGACATTCACGCACTCGTGCAAGCACAGGCCCAAGCTCAGGCGCAAGCCCAAGTCCAGGCACAAGCTCAAGCACTAAGAAATCAAGACTTTTGGCTAATGGCTCTTGCCTCGAATCCACCTCCCACTTCCACTTCGCCTACATCGCCGCCTGCCTCCAACGCGACCAGCAAAGCCCTCGCGCTCCCCGCGCCGGCTCAACATCAAATCCCCTCTTACGCCATGACACCGCAGCATGCGGCCGCCGCTTTTCACGCCGCACAACAGCCGCAGGCGCCGTTCCTCCTCTTCAATGTTCCGTCGCGCTATCCAATTATCCGCGCTCAACAGCCGCACACTCTCATGCCCTCCATCATTCAAGCCCCCATTAATCCCACCGCGCTGATGGGACTCAAGCGGAGTTGGGAGTCTGCCTTCCCAACCGATCCAGCCACTGCGGCAGCCGCCGCCGCAAACGCCTCGAAACGAACTCCGTGGCAGACGCCAGCGGCCGCCGCCGCCGCTGCGGCTGCTGCAGCCGCATTTCCCAGTCCCGCCGCTGCTCACGGCCTTACTTATCCCGCTCAATTTTATCCTCAAATTTAAGAGCCACGCGCTGACAAAGACGTTCGATGTTTGCAATATTTAGAGAAAAATTCAAGAAATTATTTTCTTTCATCTTTTCATTATTTTCTTTTTTGCTCGAAAAATTTTCGAGCGTCGAACGAGTTTTTGCATTGGAGCGCTCAATTTGACTCAAATAAAGTCGTTGCTGCCTAATTTTTTAAAAAAAAAAAATTTATACTTTTAGAAATGAATTTTCCTTCTGGGGCGGAAAAATTGCACTTTTTTAGCAATTAGAAAATATTTAAAAAAAGCATAGAAAAATTCTTAAAAATGCTTTTTGCACTTTTAAGAATTTTTTATTTATTGATTCATGTTTACAATTAGTTGATTAATTATTTTTTGTATAATAAAACTATTGAAAATATAAAAATAGTAGATAAAATATATTTTTAAAGTAGGTCCGCCAAATAATTTTGACGTTTTTATCAATTAATTACGAGAAGGTGGAATTATGTAATGAAATAAAAACTCGCCGAATATAGAGTACTTTTTATGAATTTTCAAGATTTCTTATCACTTTCTTAATTTTTTTCTTTAAATATATATACAAGAAATATTGAATTGAAAGTAATTAATTGATAAAAACGTCAAAATTAGGTTATTTGGCGGACCTACTTTAAAAACATATTTTATCTATTATTTTTATATTTTCAATAGTTTTTTTATTAGAAAATAATTAATTAACTAATTGTGAAAATGAATCAATAATTCTTCTTGCACTTTTAAGAATTTTTCTAATTTTTAAATATTTTCTAATTGCTAAAAAAGTGCCATTTTTCCGCACCTTCTTCACTTTACATTCATATTTTAAGAAAAGTAATAAATATTTTAACATAATTTTTTTCATTTCATTCTCCAGATATCATTTTAAAAATGTTTTTTTCATACATTTTAAATTAATTTCTAAAAGTATCAATTTTTTTGAAAAATTAGGCCACAACGACTTTATTTGAAATATAATGGTCTGACCCTATTATTTTTCTTATTTTCAAGAAATGACAAGTGAAATATTTTCTTTTTTTTTTGCTATTATTTTTTTTACATTATTCTATTTTTTTATTAAATTTTTTGTTCTTGAGATAAAATAAAAATGTCACTAATTGCACTTTTTTCATTCAATTCGGGAGTTAAAGTGCCAAATCAGGGCACTTTTTTAATCTAAAGCCTTTGAAACAATTGTTTCATTCTTTTCAATTTTGGAAAAAAATAGTTTTCGATACTCAGCGTCGGCAATATTATTTTTTTTTTTTTTTGTAATAAAAAAAAAATAATAATTCAAAGACCTCTTTTTTCTATTATTTTTCTTATTTTTCTAGAATTTTGTCATCAAAAGAAAGCAAAGAAATTTTTTCTTATTAGGAGGATGGCTTTTTCCTTATTATTTTTCTTATTTTTCAAGAAATAAATAAAAAATTGTGATATTTTTTTCTTTTTGCCATCAAAAGAAACACAAAATTTTCCTTATACGGAGGAAGGCTTTTTTTCTTATTTTTCAAGAAATAAATAAAAAAATGTGAGATATTTTTTTTGACATAAAAAAAATTACAAAAAATTGTTTTTATAGTAATTTTTTTCCGAAGGGAATTTAATGATAATGAAATAAAATCGGTCATAATATATTATGACCTTTTTTAAATTTGTATTTTTCTTAAAAATTGATAAATTTCGAAATCCACGAGTATTTTTTTGAAAAATGTTTTTGTACATATTCGCAAAAAAGAAAAAATTGCCGAATGAAGAAATTGATTTTTACTATTTTTGAAGCTTGTTTTTTAAAAAAAGAAATTTTTGTTAGGTTGAAAAGCTTAAAAGAAAACATTTTTTTAATTTGAAAATTCATTTATTTTTCGAACTATTGTGAGATCACAATTTTTTTTTTATAAAAAATAAGCTTCGAATTGTTCAACTTTTTCGTCTTTTTTTCAATTCTATTTTATGGGAAAGGCAATTTTTTCGACTTATTTATTTTTTACTTATTTTTCGTCAAATATTTCAAAATATATTTTCCATTAATTTTTCTATAAGATAATTTGATTTTTTAAATATATAATTAAAAATTTTTTTTAAATAATTGAAATTTTGTAAAATTTTTATTAAAAATACTGAATTTTTAAAAATTTTACAATAAAATTTTAGAAAATCCAATTTTTGAAAAATTTTAATTGCAAATTTTTTAAAATAATTGAATTCTCAAAAATTTTAATGAAAAATCAAAATGTTAATTAGCTTTAAAAATGTATAATAAGAAATTATTTTAAAAAAGTTTATAAAGAATTTATTTTAAAGAAGTAATTCTTAGAATTATTTTTTTATTGTAAGTTCTTAAAATGCAATTTTTTTCAATATTTTCAATTACATATTTCCGAAATTGCAAAATATCTAGAAAAAGAAATTAAATTACAATTTTTTTTTAAATTGAATTCTTGAAAAAGTTTTGAAAACAAATTAAAAGTTATTAATTCAGAGAAGAAGTTCAGTTAAAAGTTCTTCTATAAATAATTAAATTCTGAAAGGATTGCAGTTTTAATTTTTAGAAATTTATAGTTAACTTTCAGAATGTTTGAAGTTGAAATTTTTGAAATTATTGAAATTCCTGTAAAAAAATAAATAACAAGTATATTTACAATTATTTAACAAAATTAGTGAGAAAAATAAACAAATGAATTTTTTAAATAAAAAAAATTAAATAATAATTGTAGTTTTTTTAAAGAATTTTGTCTAAAAGCAAACAATTTTTCCCAAAGAATGCATCGAAAATAGTAAAAATCAATTTTTTCATTCGTCAATTTTTAAGGAAAATCAAACATTCAAAAAGGGTAAAAATATTTTCTGATCATTGAATTCCTTTTAAAAAAATGCAGCGTTGAAAATCATTTTTATATGGTTTTAATGTTATCTTTGGATCAAAAATGTGAAATATTTGCTACAAATTCTAGTTTCGATGAATGAAAATAGGAAAAATTTTTTTATAGAGAATATTCATAATCTAAATTGTACATTAATAATTATTCCTCCTAATTTTCACTCTATCAAAACTCGAATATTTCTCCTCACCTAAATATTCTCGATTTTCGATAAATTCGACTCAAAGGAAAATCTTTTTCAACTTTTTTTTTTACATAAGTTTTACAAAGTTTAAAAAGAAAATAAATTTCTTCTCTAAATATTGCAAATTTAAATAAAGGCAGCCCTTATTTTTTGGAAAAAAAACGAATTGAACTTTTGGTTTTCATACTGAATTTTCAACTTCCTTAACTCTAATTAATGACAATTTATAATAAGATATTATTAAGTGCCTTATTCTGACTTTACGAGTGACAAATTGAAAAAAAACTTGACATAAGAAAAAAAACTATAGCAATTTACTTGAAAAATTTACTTAAAATTTTGAATAGTAATTTACAAAACAATTTGCAACGTGTTTTTTTCCAAAGTCACTCGGTAACGAAATCTTCCATTAAAAGAAAATTATTAAGAAACTGTAATATACCTAAATTTTTTGATATTTTATATTTTTTCTAATGTTTACAATAAGATATAGTAATTTTTGATAATGAAACGTTTGCCTTAAAAAATTTTCACGTTTTCATAGATAAAATATAATAAATTGTGAATTCCAATTAAATTTCTATAATACTTTTTTGATGGTGATAAAGTGTACTTAGAAATCGTTGCATTTACCTTGAACACACAAGGGAACGGTACTATTTTTTATATAATTATTATTATTATTAATTATAAAGTATATACATATAGTATATTTATAGAAAGATAAATCAATCTTAAAATATAAGAAATTATTCTGTAATATATGCATATATAGTTTATTTACATAATTTTTTCTATCTTTCTTTTTTAATTTAGTTTACAAAAAAATCAACTGGTTGTTATACTTTTAACATTCCGTGAAATTGCGTGCGTGTTATTTTTTGAAAAGCATTTTTTTAACAAGGAAATGCGTTCTTTAAGGCGAAAAAATTCTTTTGGAAGGAAAAGCATTGCCTTTAAGTAAAAAGAATTTTTTTTAGGCGAAAAAAATTCTTTTGCAAGGAAAAGCATTGCCTTAAAGTAAAAAGCACTTCTCTAAAGCGAAAAACATTTCCTTAAATTGAAAAGCATTTCTTTAAAGTGAATTTGTATATTTTTACATAGAAAATTATGGTAACTCGAAAAATTTGCTACTTTTCATTTTTTTTCTCCGTTATAATTTTGGAGGTAGGCGTTTGTTTCTCGTATTCCTTGGAAAAAACATTCCTTGATTCCGCCCTGCCCCCGAGCCCAAATCCCCATGAAAAAAAGAGTACA